CGTGTACTTGTGTTGAACATTATGTACCCATGTATTAAAGAAGTGTGTTTTATCCTATAATTATTGTCTTGTGTTATATAGTATGCTCCTCCCTTCTAATTGGCGTTCAAATCTTACAAAGCTAAAAGGTGAATTACATCAGGCTAGTGAAATGAATTTAATCAAAGTGATTTTGAGTATATCCCCAAAAATTTCAAAATTTTGCGTGAAATTTGAAAAAAAAAGTGAATCCATCTGCTTCCAAAACCACATTCCATTCAAAGTAGTTCATTAGAAATTCAACAACCAGCATTAGTCTGTTCACTGAATATGCATCAATTAAATTTACATATCATGAATATTAAATAGATCAAAATCAATCCTGCGTTTAAAATTACATTAAAATACGAATTAAATTAAGAAATTTACAAAATTTCATTTGAAATTATGAATTAATAAAAAAAAATATATTTCTGAAATTTGATTTAAAATATGTAAATTTATTCGTCATAATCATGAATATGTTCAAATCAAACGGCCTCCGTTCAAATGTTTTCGGCAAAGCTTGCAGAAAAAATGGAACTTGGCGAAAGTGAGAAATGTACCAACCCTATCCCCTGCTGGTTTTTGTATTGGGGTTTTCCACGCCTGAAATGGATGATGGACATTACAATATCTGTCAACATTGCAGCTCAAATGAAAGCTAAAATATTAAGGAGTTAGCTAGGTTAGGCTAGACTATGATGACAGGAGAGAAAAAGCCAGCATGTACAGTTTTAAATTTCTGAAATCTTTAATTCAAATTACAGGTTTTGATTGGTGTTTACCTTTATCAGGACATCCAATGAAAACAATTCTTTCATCACTGTGTAAGCAATAGCTAAGAAACGGAAATGTGAACTAAATTATATCAATTGAAAAAATTGCTGACTTTTTCTCTCAATAATGAAACTCTTACAGAAATACAAGCCAAATCATCCAAAATTACTGAATTATATGATATTAACTATTAGAATGTACTGATATTTGGCAGATTTGGTTGTAATTTTGAAAGTAAGGATGAAAAATCTACATCTACATCTACAATTTGAAGTAAACTAATTAGAAATTAGACGAGTATTTATGAAAATTAATAACTGATCCGTTTTCTGATTTAAATAATTCCTTTGTTCTCCAGTAGTAATTTCAGACATTTTTTACCGGCATCAGAATTTGGAGAATGAAACAGGACATACCTTTGGTTGAAATGCACCATAGAGACCTGAAGACAACGAGCTTGTAGGGCCTGGTGGGAGAAGTGACGAGAATGCTGGGTAACTTGCTAGACCAGGCAACTGGAAATAGAAAACATCAAAATTTCAAAAATTATTGCTTTTTCAAGAATTTTGCCTGACATCACCTAAATGCTTTAATCCTTTCAACACTAATGCCTGCTCTACCAGTCATATAATTATATATACTCAAACAACAAGTGAAGGGGTCGTTGTCAAGTGACATCACATAACATGCTTCAAGTTATTTTATATATAGTTCAAGGTATAGGACATTTTGTCTTATTCACATTCTGGGTTTAAATTGACCGCAAATGTCTCTTATTCAAAGGCCTTAAAAAAAGTAGGACGTAAAACTCCATTCATTTAATTCATTTTATCAAAGACCAAGTGGATATGATTTAGGAAATGAAATGAATGGAGTTTTATATCTGTGGTAGATATGATTTAGACCCGTCCGTTAAATTAAGTTTTTATGAAGAATACGTACCCCACCAGGTCTATACAGGGGATTATCATACACTTTAGGTATTTTATCAAACTAAAAAACAAAAACAAAAAATCATTAGATAAAATTTTAGAGACAAACTTAAGATAATAAGCCTCATTATAGAATTAGAATTTTCATTAAAATTGACTTTATAGTTGATAATGTTCGTTCTCTACTTTTCAGTTAACGTTCAGACTAAAGGAAATGAAGTTTTGGTGTCAGGGTAGGTCTCACCTGGTCCATCCGTCCATTTAATGGATTTAAAAATTTTCCTCAATTTTCAAAATCTACTGCTACTTACCAAATGAGGGGGAGGGGTTGGTACAAGAGAAGCGGGGTGAGTCCCGAGGGCTCCGTATGCGTGTTGATGCATATGTTGATGTTGGTGCTGGTGTTGATGGTGATGTAAATGTTGATGCTGGTGTGACGTTGGTTCGCTGCGTATGTACGAGGGTGGCGCCAGGGGATTTGAACTGGCTGTTTCACGATTATGTGCCAACAAACGGTTGTTCAAATCTTGATGTAGGAAATCAGAATCTGAAAAAAATTATAAACGACAATTACAATAAAATAATGTAATAATAATATTACAATCAGTTAGATTGTCTTAATTCCTTACAGACCCTATATCTATACCTAAAATATTTTACTTCAAACTATCAGAATTCAGGGGCACTCACACCATAGCGATTACTAATTGGGTATGGTTACAAATAATGATCGCAACCCACAACTCTGTTACATGAGAGTTGAGTACGAAACATATGACCGCTATTCTTATTTTCAACTGGTCATCACTATGGTGTGAGGGCACCTTAATTAAGGGATATATTTTGGTCGATATTTTACATTAATTTGAGCACTTAAAGTTTCAAACCCACTCAAAAAGTAGACAGGCCCTTTAATGACAGTTAAGAGAAACTGAATAACATATATAACACCATGTTATTTCCTTTTGAAATTATATTAATTTTAACTTACGATATTTAATTTTAGAATCAGATAGTTAATTTAACCCTGTACTCAGTACAACCCTCATTCAACGCCTTTCAAACACTTTGTGCATGTTGGTGATTGTTTTTTTTACCCACAGTCAATTTCAATTGAGTCATCTGAACCTGCCCTTTTTAACAACACACCTTGTGACCTGTTTTTAATTCGCCTCTTCGTAGAATTTAATTATATACAATTTAAATATTATTCATCGCGACAGTTGCGAGGTTAAAAAACAGCTAAACGATTCAAGATTAAAGGCTTCAAATCTTGTGTCCTCGTGCTTGATTAAATTTCAAATTACTGTATTTGCATATTAAATGCGTTAATAATCGTCAAATAAAAAAAGAGGAAAATATTATCTTTGTATTTGGTTGTGAAAAGACATGCTATATCTGTAATTTCAAAGGCACCATTATCCAGGAAGATAATTCATTAGACTAGATCACCAGGGTGGTTATAAAAAAATATTTAAATAAATGGAGTTTTAAGTCCTAGTTTTCTGCACCATGTCTAATGAACACAGGCAACACCATGCAGGGTACAATGAGGGAAATATTGCAAGGACAGCGGCATTAGCCTGCTCTTTTACTATTTCCAACTATCAAGAGATCTTAAAAATGCACACAGGGGTTCGGTTTATTGTTCTATCTGAAGAACTAGACCCTTTTTCCCTTCATTCTACACAAATTAAATTCATTAGACTCGATCACCAGGGTGGTTATCAACTCAAAGTTTCTAAATGATTAGATAGACCCTATTAACCAGGTGTGTAGTCTTTATCAACAGGTGAAGATTACTCTAACACCTGTATGAGTTAACGATGAGTAGATTCTCAGATGCCATGTTTTTTCTCAAGTATATTTTAAGTTGAGAAATGATGAAAGATGCGAACTGATGGAGATTCTTTCTTTTCAAAATATTTATGAATTCCTTTCCAGATGAGAGAGATAATACATAACTCCATGTGAAATTTGACCGTTTGGTTTGGAATAATAATTCTTCAGGTATTTCATTCCCAGTAATTACTATTCATTATCGAATTCAACCTTTGATAGCTAATTTTAAAATCAGTTAACATGCCCCGGTGTTTGGATTATTGGATTCTAATTGTGTAAAGTAAGATAGATAGCTGAAATAAAGATTCATCAGTTGTTAAAAGCAAGCTCGAGATGAAATTGAGCATTATAAGGAAAATATCTAGATGACGAAATATTCCCTTAACAATTCATAACAGATGAACAGGGATATCTATCTAGCCTCAATCCTAATAAAGTTATATTATATTCTACTTTTACACCCACAGCTTAACGCCAACATGTTATAATCAGACTATTTATCTTCGTCTTTTGTTCCCTGATTTTTATATCTGCCTTGCATCACCTCATAAAAATACCAGAGTTTGTTTCGTTGATATTTAATTCAGGATGATATCTTTATTATGGTTATTCAAGCAGAAAGACAAGATAACTTTATAAGCCTTGACGAACTAAATTACATTATTTTATAACAGTATTCTTTTTATCAAACAGTCTATCACCGAGTAAAACATGTTAATATTCAAATCCCGAAAGTCAAAATTTCAAAAATAAAATGGTGTAGTTGTGCATAAATTTCTTTGCTTGACAAGAAACAGAAAGATTTACATACTAAATTACATTATTTTTTAGTTTTTAGAGTCTTCGTAATGTTTTTGTTATTATCATAAAGTAAAACATGTTTGACAAACTAAATCACATTATTTTTTAGCTTTTAGCAAATCAAAACCCAAACATCAAAGTCTGCAAGTTAGAATGTTCATAAGAAAATGTTGACAGACTGACAGACATGGGCAATGAGATGTCATGTGGGCATATGAAAAGGTACTTACTTCTGAGAGTTTCGTGTGAGAACGGACTTCCACCTGGTACAGAGGGCGCTGCAGGTAGGGATGACGATGTTATCTGTGGTGGAGTTGGGTGATGAATTGTGGGAGGAGCGAACATGCTATGAGGGGTAGAGTGATGATGTAAGGGATGGGGGGAAATATGAGGAGGGAATGACGGGGAAGTGTGATGTGGGTGTAGGGAATGTAAGGGGGAATGAAGACTAGGGGATTGATTGTGAGAGAGGTGGAGACTAGGGGATTGAGAGTGGGGAAGATGGAGACTAGGAGATTGGGTATGTGAAAGATGGGGTGATGGTTGACTTGGATACGGTGATGGGCTGAAAAAGAAAGTAGAGCAAAAATTAAAGATGGCTGCCATTAAACTTGCAAACAGAAACTTGAAGCTTAATGGAAACTCAACTTAAAGACAGCTTTATTAACCAATCAGATTATTTTGTCCAATTTATCTGGATATCAAGTTGCGTACTCTCTTCAAAACAACTGAATACAACTTTTACTCTTGAGTTTGCTTTGGACGATATTTTGATTAACAGAATTGTTTTCATTGAACGAATTTCATCAAGCAAACATTTGCCTAGAACAAGTCATATCCATACTCCATAGGAAGGCAAGACAAAACTTTTTGAAAACTGTTCCATTAAAAAGTTTCTGATACTCTAAAAATCTCTTACCTTGGCCAAGGTTTGGCAAATGGATAACTGTTGCTATGAGACAGTATCTGAGGATCTCGTGGATCTCTCGTTTCCTCTCTTCTGATTGGCTTCTGTAGAGAAGGGGGAGTAACTTTCACTGGTTCTCTGATCGGTATTGGTGAAGGATGAGTCGGTATCTGTGGTTTTGGTTTCGGGGGTAATGGGGGTAATGGGGGTTCAGGGCGAACGTGTCGAGGAGGGGGAGTTGGTGACAGACGTCTGTGTGTGGCGGCAGTCGGCGTAGCAACAGGTTGAGAAGGAGGACGTACAACTGTAGTAGCGGTAGTTGCTATACTAGTTGACGTTGTACTGGTTGTTGTGGTTATTGTTGCCGTAGTAACCTCAGCAGATGTGGAGGGTGGAGGTGATGGTGAAGAACTGACGTTTCCATTACAAACTGTTGATGTTGACGTAGGGGGAGTAAGGGGGGTAACTGAAACAATTGGTGGAGTCGGAATTCTTTCACTACTTTGACCTGAAACGAACGAAAAATGAAAATTAATTTTCAACCAAAGGCAAATAAATGTAATTAAATGAATGAAGTTTTCCAAAAAAAGTCTGAAGATTTAGATTTTTTGGCAATTATACAATATATACATATTTGGAACAAGTCAGGCCTGTAACCAGTGTGCCTAGTGGGGGCGGCCGCATTTGCATGGGGGGTGGGGGGGAGCACTAGTTGATAAAGACTTATTTCAGCTTCAAGTGAGAATTTGCCACCCCCTCCTAATTACAGGTGAGGAAAAAGTACAGAAGCAAAAGAAATATGGATTCCATACCTAAACCTTTCATAATATCTGTCATATGAACGATAAAAAGCCATATTTAAAAAAAAAAAAATTCCAAACCAATTATGAAATTTAAAAAAAAAATAAATCAGTCGAAAGTATAAGCAGTAAATTGATCTGAATATATATTCAGAGAGTGAAAACAAAGTATTACAAACTATCACAAAGTTGCCCACCACTGGTTTGTTTGGAATATTTTCAGTCAATTTATTTAAAAAAAATATTTAAACTAATTTCAACTCAAATGATGAGAACAAGCTATATATCTGATTTATTTTAAAACAGTGATGACAACTCAGTTAACCTTTGACCCAACACAAACTAAACAACACAGGATAAAAATTAAAACGCAGCCATCAAACTGGTGAGAACATTCACGAAAAAATTAATTACATTTCTGGTATTCTATTTCATCAATATTATGAATAACTTTCGATTATTTTGATACAAAATAAATTTTTCAGTGCATAGTTTAAAAAAATAATATTTTAATTAAAAACTTTCTTTGATAATTTCACACGAAATTATGCAAATTCTACCAGAAATATCAAAATATATTGACAGACAACTATTTTAAGAATCCTGCAAAAAAAAAAAAAAAAATTAAAAATGGACCGCAATATAATAACAAATTTATTAAACTTTTAAAAAAAATATGCTTTATTATTAGATAAATTCCAAACCAAATATTCACAAATTTTCATGTGTTTAACAATCAGTTATTTTTTCAACTCCACTGAAACATGACTGGCAAATAAATAAATTACATAATTAACACTCCTGATCCAACATTGTCAATTAATTTTTTTATCTGAAGATATGATATAATAAATTTATTTGCAAGTTGACTACAATTTTAACAACCATACATTTAGTTACTTTTTTCAACCATGACTGGCAAAGTGGCTTCCATAAATTACCATCCCTGATTACACAACCTCATGGCATAGAATTAAACGCCATTTCTCTTTAGAGATAACAAAATAAAGTTCATTATTTATACTCAGTGAGTTAACTACAATTTTAACGTGTTTATCAAGTTATCTCCATAGTATCATCCCTTAGGGTTGTTAACGGTGATAACGCCCCACCATATCTCACTATCTCACACAGTCTCCCGTTGTTTATCTTTACGTATATAATGTAGCGAGAGATTGTCTGATATATGATACTGTCTGATTGTTATTATAACTATCTGGTTATCGTGTTCCTATATGTATACTATTTGTTTACAAGATGATACGTATATCACCCTGAAAATAATATACTAAAAAACTAAACATTATCAGGTCTGTTGCCAAATATAAAATGGCGATCACATACATTAAGCATCTTCACAGTGACAAGCTATAACAAACTACAGACTTGACATCTTCACAGTGTCAAGCTATAACAAACTACAGACTTGACATCTTCACAGTGTCAAGCTATAACAAACTGCAGACTTGACATCTTCACAGTGTCAAGCTATAACAAACTACAGACTTGACATCTTCACAGTGTCAAGCTATAACAAACTGCAGACTTGACTGCAATAGCCACTATACTTGTATTTCAGAAAGCTGTAAATGCAATAATCTAATGATATGTCAATCACCATGAAAATAAGACACAAAAAACTTAAATAATTTTAGTGATGTTGCCAATATATCTAGTTTGCCATCTGTACAGAACGGCACAAGGACATTCGAACTAGTACAAGGGGTTTTTAAAAAATTAGATTCACCATAAATTACTTTCAGGATAAGATCAAACTACCCTGATCTGTCTATTGTTACAAAACTACCAAAACCTTCCCTCCATTACCCCTGGGGCTATAAACCTCTACCTGCTATTTAATCTAAACTATTTAAAAAAAAGACCACTATGCCTAGAGTTTCACAACCATCAACCTCCCAAATCCCCTCTCTTCTCCTAGTCACCCCCCACTATACTACTATACCTAGCTAGCTGTCAGTATAGGTGTAATATTGGTATATATATATAAGTTCCAAGGAAATGAAACCAGTCTGTTGTTTTCTAAACACAGCTGGGATTTATCAAAACAAATTTTTACATTTCCTTTTTCTTACTATCTTAGTTCTGTACCATATCACATAATATATTTATAGACTTTTACTTCAAGTTCTGTATATTTATAGACTTTTACTTCAAGACCCAGGATAATTCTGGACACAAATGGATTTGAAGGCTCAAATTGCCAAGGTGAGCTGTGAACACTATTACTGATTAGCTTAGCTAAAAAAAAATCCTAGTTTCTGAGTTACGCTTGGTGAAACCAGTACCTTTAACAAATAAACCTTGACATAAAGATCATGCTTACTCTTTTGATGGTACTTCTTTTTGTAGGAGTCCACTACTATACAACTTTTACTCACTATTTTTCAATACTTTAGGGGAGATTTTTATTATCGGAATTGTCTCGCTTGTAACGATTTTTATTAATATCAATCTATCATGTCAAACACAACATGGAGGCCTTGAATCTTTGTTAATATATTGCCAGAAAAACCAATACCTTTCTGAAATTTCTTCATAAACAGAAACTTTCCGTCCTTACACTGGAGAATTATGACCTAATTCTAGATTCAAATTAGTTAATTTAAAACCATATTTCAGTCTGCAACCAGCAATTTCAGCGATAACGAGGAAATACTTTACACTGTTTATTACAGTTTTATTAGTTTCATTATAAACATTGTTATTGTCCTTGCAGACGCATAAAATAGGTCCAATTTGAGGTTTATTTGGCGTAAGGATATTGAGTAGTGTTAAGGGTGTAAATTGGTAATATAGAGGTAATGATAGATAACACTGTAATTATTGTCCGATGATTCTATTGTTGATTTAAAGCTTATGGTCTGAGATTTTTTATTGTTTATAATTTATTGTTATAAAAATCAGAAAGAAAAGTTCAACTCATGAACTCTGTCTTTAATAAATTCAATAATGAAGGAAGTACAATTTTGTCGAGATCTGTGTGTGGCAGGTGTACACAAAAACAAACTCAAAAACAAGAAACACAAACCATCAAAACATGAAATGCGAACTTGAAACAAGGGCAAGTAAACTGAATACATGAAAACTTGTACTAAAAGATTTAAGATTAATTGAAGTTTTAACAACTTTCGTTGTCGTTAATTTAGTTAGAAATGAGAGAGGATGTGGTAAATGAGTTTTTGATCGTGAAACATTTTAACAGAATTTAGGTAAAAGGTGTCTGGTACAGTGAAGGTGTGAGATTATCAATTCAGGAGTTCAGGATCTTGTCATAATGCGGACAAGAAACACTTCTTTCATTTTATTTTCTACTGTATCAATAATCTTATGGTGAACACAGCAATGTAAATTCATGTTCTGCTCTTCCTAGTCTACAGATCTGTACATCTGAAAGGGGAATTCCTTAATTTATTCAGCACTTTAATTGAATGAAATTCACATCCAAATTATCTGTACCTTGTAGAACAAAAAATGGCAGAACAAAACTTCACATTTAGTTAGTTTGAACTCAGAAGCCAACACAATGACACAATTTGAGACCAATCACAATCTGGAATATATTTTCTACCAAATTCTACAATCAAACACATCAAATAAAGCAACTCAAAGCTCCCTAATTAGCTTGTAACACTTGTATTGCATATGGCAGCAGATTTTAAACAGATTTCTCCACGTTTCTAAGCCACATGATTTGTATTTCTGTTGTGAGAAAGTTACACTGATTCCACCATGTTTAATCACCCACATTTCTACGCCATTTTTAAATGAAGCACATTTTCTGCACCTGGACTGTCTGTGTATGCAATAATTTCACCTGATTATTTCTGATCTAACTAAGATCCATATTTTTGGTTCGCTGGTCCTAAAGTTATGTTCCATATATTGTATCGTCATGTGTGTTCTTATTTATTGTAGTTTGCAATCTGGCGCTCCAGCAATAATGTTAACGTTCATTATCCTTAAAAGGGGTTTGACATTAGTCATGACTTATTTCCCCTCCATTATGAGTCATAATGCTTGCTCGTCAAATTTGATACAATTCCCACATCTACAACACATGTTTGTACCTCAAATATGATTGAAAACCATCATCATCAAAGCTTGGTGCATTTTGAAAAGTAACATCGAATAAATTATATAGCTATCGAATTATTTATGACATAACTAACTAACATCTTGTAGCCTCCATAAGTTCAATTCCTACTCGGCATATTGGCTGCACACATCTTTATCTCAAAGATGATTGAAAAATATCACTACCATTAACAAAGCTGGTGTATTATTTAGAAGACATTGAATATATAGTTATCTAGATATAGATGACCTGACTGACTGACATTGCGAGACCCAAATATGTTCAATTTCAGTCAGCAAATTGAATGCACATAGTACATCTGTACCTCACGATATTTTTATGACACCACTGTTTATTTTGGTATTTCTGAAAACCATATTTAATGAGATGTATACAGATGGTGTTTCCACGGTAATGAGTCTTCAATAACACAGATCTGTATTACATATTGATACAATGTGGAAAAATATTAGTCTACACGTAAAACACAAACATTTCTTGCCGTTCGTTTAGCTGTTAGTGTGGTTGGTGTGCCAGACTTATCTGATATCAACGCTACATGAAACATATGTTTAAAACATTCAGATATCTCGAGTTTTAATGCGTGATTTGATACATCAGGAGTGAAATTAAAGATCACATGTGAAACAAGTATCAAAGAAATTTGCAGTCAATTTAACCTGCTGAATTCAGTGAAGTACGGTGTATTTCTTTTGGGATATAAAAATTCAAACATTCAAGAATATCCAGCAAAGTTATTTCAGAGAATATGTACAGGGCCTGGAGAATATGTACAGGGCCTGGAGAATATATACAGGGCCTTAATTTACCATAGGAATGCCAAAATACTGTTGATTAGAGTATTAGATGCCATTTGATTGGTAACGTCAAGACAAAAGATGGTCTCAGGTTCTTATCTTAGTCAGTGTGAGAAAGGTGAC